TCGGAACTAGCCTGTGACAGACACCTAGAGCAGAGCTATGGAAGGAGGGAGGCGGGGAGGGTCCCTATTCTCCCTGCTACCATAGCACAGGTCGCCTAGGGGCAGGGCTTGGCTGCTCTCCTCCACAAACTCAGCTGACTCCTGGTGAAGCTGGCCTCATGTCCACCTGTCCAGTGGACGCCAGGGAAGGGAGAGCGATTGGGTCAGGCCACGGGGATGGATGCTCACTGGGGACGCTGGCACTGACTGGCAAGTAACACCCCCCCGCCCCCCGCACCGGCCCCTGGAAAAGGGAGCAATAGGAAGGGACAGGAGACAGTTTTAGACTCTCAGAGCTGAAGAACCAATACAGCTCTGCTCAGCACATCATAGGCATTTTCAAGAGCCATCAGCCTGCTTCCCCCACCCCTTTCCGGGGCCGAGCCTTTTTTCTTACTGCCAGTGCCTTCATGACAGAGCTTAAAATGACTGCTCCTCAGGTCACCTGTGAAAAGTTAGGCATATAAGGCACGAAGTTTAATGAAAGAAAAATATGAATTCTATGAAGCTAGGTATCTGAAACCAGAGAATACTATAAGCTTGTAGATTTTAGAAAATATTCAGCTTTCTCTGTTTCTGCACACACGCTATTCTATCTGTCTGGAAAGCAGTCTTTCCCTGCTTTGGCCCGTCTAACTCCAACAGTTCTTTGCTGCCCAGCTTTGGGAAACCTTCCATAAAGTCCCAAGAGCCAATGGATTTAGCAAGGGGTAGTTACAGGAACTAAAAAGGAGTTATTACTTTAAAACAATTGGATGGATGGCTCTTTAAAAATACTGAGTTTCTCTATTGCACCAACATACTTTTCAACAATCTTCATATTAAGTAAAATAAGGTAGCCTATAGATAGGAAGAGAATAGATATTAATATAAAAAAGTACATTATGCTAACTCCTCTTAAAATTCTCCTGCAGTTGCACTGACTCTTGGCAGTCCTCATAACAAGGTAAGACCACTTTGGTACATGTGCTGGAATTCCAAGTACAAAGAGCAGGAATATTAATTTAGCCTGGTTAGATTTCTAAAGTTTACTCTTATCATATATAGCAAGCCAACACACACACGATGAAAGAAGAAAATAACTTTAACAAAGAATTAAATGTGTCAACATTATACATGTTAATTGCTAAGAAACTTATACTTTCATTTCTTTGTCTTTGTTTATCCATAGTACTGTACACAATTGTATAGCATATATGAATGAGGATAATACATATCCTCATATTTGTTGTCTTGGGGGTGAGTGACTATCTTCAATTTCAAATGTTTATTACTTTACACTGAACTTTTGTGAAGATATCTACTGATATAGTCACATATCAGACAATGATAAAAATGAAAAATCAGGAAAAGCTAAATATTTAGGCTCCACAAAGTTAAACATGTATATAAATACGAGTAAGTTTAAAAAATATTTCCTTTGCTTTGAAATGGATGAATTAGAAAATGCTAATAAGCTCTTTCTATGAATAAACGAATGAAACTTTTATTCTTTATTTGATAAGACTAATCAGCATGAATTTATAATATAAAAGTCAAAATAAAAGAAAGGATAATAAGGAGCTTAAAAATTAAATTCTGACTCTCAACTGGGCTACTGTAGTGACTTTATGACATTGATAATTATGAAAACGAACAGTACATTTTGTAGTATCTGTGGCGGTCAGAGACTTTATTAATCTGAATGCAAGTTGGATCTAATGTTCAATATCATTAAAAAAAATATGTCCTAAGATGAAATTACCATAGAATCGACATAGTCATCAATGCTAATTGCCAAGGAGAAACAAATTTCCACAAAAACTGGTTAATTAGGCAATATTATATGTACATGGAGAAAAAGCCAGTTATAGCTGTACCAAGTGAAAAGCAGGAGAATGAAGAACAGATTTGTATCATCAGCTCCCTAATAATATGAAATACTTAAGACATGCTGAGCTTTGAGATATTATCACTACATATTAAGCACTTCTACACAGTTTAAAATAAATTTTCAAAAAATGATAGAATCCTTCTAAAAAAAGATGGATTCATCTATTTTACTGTGTCATGAATCAAAAAGTACAATATTCTTTGCCCTCGGGTAAAAATATAAATTATAGACAATGGTGTAAAACATCTTTCTCTTCCACAAACAGAAATTTTTCTGAGGATGGAAACAATGTCTTATTTATCTTTTAACCCCTGTCATCTTAGAATAAAATACGGGAATATGTACAGAATCTGTTTTCAATCAAGGGGAGCATGATTTAGAAAGGACTACAACACAGGTGCATGGATTTAGGTAGGTTAAGATGCATAAGGTGGATATAAATACAGAAAGTTTGTATAATAATAGTGTTTTGATCAGCCATTCAGTCACATGGGTTAGTGTTTTCATGAGAAATAACTTATTCCAAGGGGGAAGAAATTAAAATGAATCAGTCTCTGGAATGGTTCTAAGACACTCTGGTCAAATTTCCCCTTATGGGCCTTACACTTAAGCCCTGTTAATATCACACAAGCGGTAACTATAATTAATTGCTCCTGAGTAAGACTAAAATTCACATGTACTTTCCACAGTCCAACAAACAGAATGTAAAAATGCTATACATTTCCTGTGAAAAATCTGTACCAAGAAACTGTCTTGCTTGGTGTTTTATTACTACTTTAGAGAAACGAGAAACTTGTCCACTGAATGTGCCTCAAGGAAGAGAACATGGCTAACTACCACACTGCCAATCATTTTTTCAAAGAGTTAATAAAAAGGGTCAGACTGTCTTGCCCATTTGAAGCAGTTTTGCGCACAAAGAAATGTGCTGAGTTACAGGCAACTGCTTTCTGTGTCTACTCTGCACCCTCTATGCAGGTCCAGAACTAGACATACTTTTTGGAAAACAAAGAAATCTCACTTCATCAGTGGAAGGCACAGCACTTAAACTGATAGCATCTTAAGGTACTATAAACATGACTTTTTCATCCTACAGAAAGGGGAAAAGTGTGCAGATGAGGTTTAACACCACAATCAGTATGGGGACTGCAGGCCCATTTTATAAAATCACTCAGACTATAATGCATACGGTGAAATTCCCACAGAGACTAATATGTCACACTGAAAAAAGGCACACAATATATGATTGTTTTTATACTGACTTCTAAAGGACACCTAAAAATTGGCTCTGTTTTCAAAACTAGCTTCTCATTTTTTTTGATAAGAATAAAATAAGACTATAACATTTCTCACTCCCTTCCAAGTGTACTTTGAAATGTTCGGTAGATGATACTAACCTAGAAGGATGGGGAGGGTGCATGGATTGATGATCATAACTTGCTGTACAATGAGCCACACTATGGCAACAAATATTTTCATTTAAACTTTAAAAACTGATATTAGGAAACCTATTTCATTATGTAAATCATTAAAAACTTAGTCATCCTTTTCTTGTATCAGAAGTTCATAAAACTTTTTTCATACTCTCTAGCTGATATTCTACCTTTAGTTGACCTGGCAGTATGTCAGTCTTATTCTGAAATTAAATCACTACCTCTAAATCAGACATCAGATCCAGGCAGTATTTCATGTTGATCAAATGACAGCAGGTTTTTAATAATTTGAGGTAACTGTGTTAAAAAACCATTTTACTTAAAATATCCACCAAGAAAATCAAATGTAAAACACGCAGAATTCTGTCAACACTCTATTATCTTTCCAGCAGATGAGGTGGGATGTCCAAAGAATGATATCTGCATCTAGAAATAATCCATGCTAAGGTGAGCTTCTTGTATTAAGACTTCTTTAGAACAAGATAAAGATTATAAAAATTAGTAAGCCAATGAATAAATAAAACTTATTAGTAAGAGAAAGAAGGACCTAAAACTGTTCATTTCGAAAGGCAGTTGGATATCGCAATTTAGGACTGGGAAGGCATAATAGCATATAGTATCTTCCTCATTGCTGTAATGAGAAGCTACCATGAGCACATGCTCAGTAAGAAGCTCCAGGGAGATTCCAAGGGGAATTTAGTGTATCAATGTTAACACTGTAATTTCATATAGAAGTATATGACTAAAATTTAATAAATTACTCATTACTAATAAATTAATTAATACAATCATCTATCTACTGCTTTGAGACTTGTGCCGATCTAGTTGAGGCTAAAGAAATACATATATATTTTTAAAGCGAAGTCTTGTTCTATCCATATGTTTTAAAGGGGTTGCTAGCCTTTTCAACCACTGAAAGGAAGTAAAAAGCTTTGAAACTCTGCTGCCTAATATATTAATTGATCTGTCTAGTCACCCAGTATTTAATTAATTCAATTTTGCATTCTTCAGGGTACCAGGCCATCTATCCATTTCTCCACCCATTTATCACATAGTGTGTACACCAGCAGACTTAATGAGCTCTTTCACCTGTACCTGGCCATTAGTGCGCATTTCGCTCTCTTTTACTGTTCTCTTTCTGCTTTCTAATCTTCAGGAAGAATCTTAGTAATGAGAGGAAACTTTCTTTTCTGCTTAAACGAATGAGGGCTTACCTGTGGAACTCAGTGAAGACTGTTAGACTATCCAGCTCATACTCAACTATATTGGATATGTATACCATGGCAAAATTTAATTACCGATTAAAATTATTTATTTCAGCTGCAATGTAGATATCACTGAATTGCATAGGATCCAAAATAGTATTAAAGTATTCCTGCATAGATTCTGTATCAATCCTTATTTTTAATTTCCAAAATAAAAAAAAAAAATCACCAGAACTGTGACTAACAACTTACTTTTCCTGAAGCCCTTACACCCTCAGATCTTTGCAGGAACTGTTCCTTTTCCTGGTGGTCCCTCCTGACCACTTTTTCCATTTCCTTACCTCCCCCCTATGCAAGCAATGGGAATTCATCTCTCGACTGTTATAAAAGTTAAAAGCAAACAAAAAAGTTTTCAGAGTTAACTTAAGAAGGGAATCATAACAAAAATCTTACCTGTATCTTGTGCATGTAGCGTTCTGACCAGACGGAGCTATTGGTTTAAAAGTGATGCGTGGGGAAACCTGGGCTGACAGCAGAAATCCCAAAGCAAGGATGATGAGTGCTATGGTGGTACCTAAAAAAAAAGTTTTACATTAAAGAACAGTTGACAATATTCTTCCAAAGCAGACTGAATTTGGCAAGAGATAGCTCTGACACATACCTTGATCTCTCTGCACTGGATTACAAGAATGCTCGTATGAACAAGTTAGCAGAAAAGCTCAATAGTACACTCATTGTGAGACATGATACATTTTCTAAAAACACAAAACAAAACAAAAAGAACAACCTCCCCCCCCCCCCCAAAAAAGCCACCCTGCATTGCAGATACTCTTAAAATTAGTTAGTGTTAACTACCTTATCGAGTGCCTAATAGTTCAAGTCAGGAACTATGAAAGGCAGCAGGTTTTCAGTGTTCCTTTTACTACCAAGAGAACTGTCTGAATGGCATTTGATCATGTAAGACCCAAATAAGTAAACTAAAAAGTAACAAATGAGTATTTTAAAAGCAGTTGAAATAGCATTTCATATTAAATACTAGTATTTTTTGAAGATTTTCAGTTACCAGAAATGGAGTAACACAGGTTTCCATTTCTCTTTCCTGCTGGTTTTTGGAAGTGTAATATTTGTTTGATTTTAAGGTCTAGGAATAGTGATAAAGTATATCACTTAAAAGGCTCATTTTCTGAGTCCCAGAACATCTGATGGTAAATAAGAATGAGAAGAAACAAAAAGTGCCATACTCTAAGTTTTGTCTTTCTTGGTAGATATTTTAAATAAAATGTTACCTCAAACAAATCATTAAAAAATTGCTGTTTGATCAAAAACACTCTCTAGATAGGATGTGTGATTTAGATGTAGAGAATTATATTCTGAGTAAGACTGATAAACTGTCAGGTCACTTAAGGGCAGCAAGTCAGAGGGCATGGAAAAAAAAAGTTTTGAAACTTCTGATAAAGGAAAGGAATGACCAAGTTTTTAATGATCTACATAATGAAATAGGTTTTGTGACAGCAACTTTTAAAGTTTAAATAAAAATGTTTACCGTTGTACTGTAGCTCACTGCACAGCAAGTTATGATCATCAATCCATTAGCCCTCCTGGTCCCTCTATGTTGTTACCCTCTACCTAACAATGTTTTCCACAGGAAGTGGAGCGTGTTGGATAAATCGCATTCTCAAAAATATCTGACAGAGTAAGTTACATTAACTACCTGGTACAAGGCTTAGATTATTAGTAAATACTGAAAAAAATGATTTCCCCTCTCACCACTCGAACACAGCACACTCTGTGTGCATTAGTATCGGCTATGGAGCCTGTGTAAGGTGCACAACCCCATCTCCGGAGATTCCAATTTAGCAGGTCTGGGGCAGGGCACAAGAATCCACATTTTAAAACAAGTACCCCTGGGAATTCTGATGGGGACAGCCTGGGAGTGATGTTTTCAGAAATAGTCCACTACCAAAATACCTGGGGGGAAATTACAGAGTTTCTGGCTTTCTTATTTTTAAGCAATAAGCTACATAGATATAAATGTTCTATTAAAAGAATCAAGAGGTTCTCATTAAGTTTGTAATATTTACAAGGAAGACCAGTTCTCTGAGCAAGCTTTGAAACTCAGAACACCACAGAATGCTCTACATTTAAAATTATTCATGAACTATATAATTTATATTTTGTTGTATAAAGAAGTTCTTTATCCAGGTCTTGCTATATATAGTTTATTTGCAATCATTTTTAAAGAATGAATACTTGTTCAAAAATTATTTTGATATGTTTTCCCACTATTTTTTAACCCAAAAGAATGAAAAGTCATAATACAAACACAAAATAAGGACTAAAAGTGAATCAAAGGTTTAAAAATTCTATGCTAATGTAAGAAATTTAAACATATTTAAATTTCTTTAAATTTAAATTCTAACTTAAGAAATAGAACAGTGTTCTAATACTTAGCTCTATTAGAATATCAAATATATACCTATAAACACATTAATAAAACAATGCATTGAAATAAAAATGACTAATCCAGAGTCAACTGGAATCAGAGTGGAATAGGCATCTTTGTGGGTCATGGTGAAGAAATACTAATACAGTTGGCCACCTGTACCCATGCATTTCACATTCCTGGATGCAACCAAACAAGGATTAAAAATATTTCACAAAAAAGTTACATTATTGCTGATGTGTACTGTGTAGTTAGGTACAACGGAATATGTACAGATTTTTTTTTGTCATTATTCCCTAAACAATATACCGTAACAACTGTTTATGTAGTATTTACATTGCATTAGGTATTATAAGTAATCTAGAGATGGTTTAAAGTATACGGGTAGATGTAGGTAGGTTAAATGCAAATACTACACCATTTAATATAGGGGACTTAGCATCTGTGGGTGTCGGTGTCCGTGGGGGTCCTGGAACCAATCCCCTGCAGATACTGAGGGACAACTGTACACTAATGGCTCTGGCAACTGATTTTCTTCTAAAGCTATAAACTTCCATTGGTCATTATGTTCTTCAAGTGAGACCTATTTAGTCAGTTGAAGACCAGAACTGCATAAACAGCACTGTTTATATCTACATGTACAGATAAAGGGGAGACCTGTGACAAAAACCCAGGCCTTCTACCTGCTAAACCACTGTAATATCTACATAATTACTTTAATCGTCCACATCACGAGGAAATCAGGGGCCTACCTAGTGGAAGAGCCTTTTCAGGCTGGAGGCATCACTGTGTCACATGAGTGAATGGCGCTGGGGTATGGGTGGTTTGGGTTGGAAAGATAACATGGCAGGAAAGAAAAACACGACAAGACGTTCATAAGCAGCAGTCCCGAAATCTCTCAGTCTTCCCCCCATTACTGTCTTAATGCTTCCTCTTAACAGTCACACGGGGCTCTGGAAGTCCTTGGGGCAGAGGGCCTGTGCTGAGTGGGGAAACATGATATCAGCTGGAAGAGTTCAGGCAAGTTCCTGCATTCTGCTGATGCAAACTGATTTTACATTATGGGAAAAGAACAAAGAATCACTCTTGGGCAGTAGTAATAACGCTGGCATAGCTGAAATGCTTTGGGCACTTTCCTCTCTGTGTCGGACGGTGTTTTAAATGCTATACATGTACGGATGTGTTTAGTCCTCATTACAATCCTAACCGAAGTAGAGACTACAGTTAATCCCTGTTTACAAATGAGAAAATGGAAACTTGCTCAAAGCCACACAACTCAAACCCAAACAGTCTGGCTCTATAGCACCTCAAAATCCTGCAGAACTGTTGGAAAGTGTCTCACTGGAATACAACAAATGAAGGAACAGAGGCTGCTACAAAAAAGTGTTTTCTCCAGAAATCAAAATCAGCAGTTTTCTCAGACTGCAAGCGCCAAATCCCAAATTTAAGAAAACTGAAATCCATTACAAAATACAGACCTCTTCAGGTAGCAATATATTAAAGCTCTGTCAAAAAGGAAGGGTATCCATTTAAAAACTTTTAAAGTGGCTGTTATCTCTTAGAGTTGACCTGGACCTCAGTGGTGGGCAAATCCAATTTCCAACCAGCTGTACAGATTTATTTTTAGCACATCACTACCTGATGGTCATCTATCCCCCCTTTTTTTAAGAGTTTACTATCCTAAGGAAGCAACCAAATTCATTGTTGGATAACTGATTATTAGGAATATTTTTCTTATATTAAGTAAAAATCTATGTCCTCATAGCATCTACCATCTGCTAGAGTAAGATGTCTATTAGATCTCCCTTTAGACTTTTTTTCCCTAGGCTGAACACTTCGGGTTTCTTCGGTAGGTTTATAAATGTGTGGTTTTTAAACCCTCACTTTGTCCTCGTAACATCTACCATCTGCTAGAATAACATATCTATTAGATCTCCCTTTAGATGTTTTCCCAAGGCTATACACACTTCTGGTTTCTTGAACAGGTTTGCAAATGTGTGGCTTTTAAACCCTCACCTTGCTCACTTTCCCTCCCCCACTTCCCTGTGTACCACGGCTGTCCTGATTCCTTTGTCTCTTCCTCACCCGTCCCCTCTCCTTCCCCTCAGTGCTGATACTACAGTTCAGCCTCCATTACTAGGCTCAGGGGCTTCCACTGCTCAGGCCAGAACAGAGGATGGATGAATCCCACTCCTTCCCCCGGAGTGAGGGTTAGGACAGAGTATGGGTTCTTAATAACTGAGCATGAAACTCAGAGTGTATTTTCTCATCAAATCTGGAACAGGTACCTCAAGAAATTCTATTAGATTACTGCTTTAGGTATATTTGGTTAAAATAAAATTTAGTTAATGCTAGCCTGGAAACTCTACATTTTAATGGAAAAATGTATTATTATTCTAAATAAACTTATAAAGGAACTATTAGAAAATAGCTAATTGATAGGTAGGAATAAGCTTGTATATATGAAAAGGTTAAAAAATTGTATTATATAATCATGTGAGGACAATGGTAAAGATGGGTCTCATTTTGTCAAGTGAAACAGCCCGGTACAGAGAAATAATAAAGGAAATGGGCAGAATTTAAAGACAAAAGATACTTGAAAGTGAGAAAGGCTTTGTCTTATTTAGCTATCACAGAAAACAGACTTAAGACACCAGAATGTACCATAGAATTTTGCCTGGTTCAAACACAAAGAGAGTCTGTTCTTGCTTTGTGAAGAAATTATATGGTTCTGATATTCCACTGTTGAGAGAGCTTTGAAGTAAAATGTCCCCAGTTTACTTCCATATTATTCCAAACTCAAAAATAAAACATAAAAGTGAGTTTATGGATACCAAGTTTTTCAACCCAGGAAAAGCAAAAAGCAATTACTCTTGTTACTTTTGTACCTTTGAGCAGAACCAAAATAATTGCAAAATGGTACCTTCAATAAATTTAAATTATTCTGACAGTTCTGGTTATTACTCACATTCAGGTTTCTAGTTACATAACATTCACTAAGTTCTCTTTTAAAAAAAAAAACTTGTCTAGAGGAACTCTATTGTTTGGCTAAAAACACAGTATCAGAAAGTGGTACTGGTATCGTATGTTGGAAGGTTAACGTGTCATCATTCTATAATTGAAAAAAATTCTTTTTTCAATAGAATTTTTATAGAATTGAAGAAAATTCTATAATTGAATCCTCATCCAGGCACCTACCTGCTAAACTACCGAACGTAAGCTTTCTGCGGCCCACTTTCTCCACAAGCCAGACGCCTATGAGAGTGAAAATGAAATTGGTGAAGGCCGTAACGGAAGCCAGCCATATTGCGAGTCTATCGTCTTCCACACCAGACATCTGCAGAATGGTTGCACTGTAGTACCTGCGAGGCAAGAACAAAACACTCGTTGCTGATGGTTCCTCAACAAAAGTTATTCATATAAAAAAAAATCAGCTGACCTAAAAAATAAAAAAACCAATGACTAGTTACAGTAATATGAAATTAACATGGAAACCGTTTAAAGGATCACTGTAGACTGTGTTGAGATAAATTTATTTTGCATTTTATATAGTAAGAAATGACACTCGAGCAAGCGGATAGAGGACGGAAGGCTTCCAAGGTGAACTGTAGCCCATGACTACAAACGGGAAAGCTGGCAGTTTCACTAAAACTACCGAGGATTATCTCCAAGTCCATCAATGAGGGGTCAGTATACACTGCAACTACATACTTAAGGCAACAGAGACTCACTGAACCAAGGACACTCAGAATAGAGACACTGAACCAAATAATTCTTCCAAACAGAGCCATAAATACAACAGAGAGATTATTTTAATGTTTTTTTCATTTTCAAAACAAAAAAAAATCACAAAATTGCAAGTGTTAAAGGATAGAAAGATAAGTGATATTAAACAAAAAAGTTGGTGTCAGAATTTTATTTAAAATGTAAAATGTTCCCTAGTTATTTAAGACAAAAATTTTTAAGTTTTAGAGGCAGAGTATTACTACAGGCTGGCCTAGGGATCAAGACACCTGCACTCTAATGGCATCTCTGTGGTGTGTTGGCCAGGTTATATAACCTGATCGTTCATTCATTTACCATTTATTTATTGAGTACCTTCTGTGAAAGCTGTGTGAGATACTAAGATCCCACAGATACGTTATGAGACCCTGCGGTTGCCCTCAAGAAGTCTGCAGTTTAGTATTAGAAAATAAAATAGAAAAAGTTTAATATTGCAAGGTGTTCAACTCACAATGTGGCCTAAAGGACAGACCAAACAATTTTATTTGGTATGAAAGGTTCCTTGGTTTTCCGGGGAATTAATGCTTGAGTTGAGTCTTGGAAGAATTCACAGGTGTTTGCCAGCAGGTATGATGATCTGGCAGGGCACTCACTGGTGGTGAAGGAAATGCCATGTATGAAGGAGAAAAGTGCAAACTACGATGCTAGCCTCACAGAACGTGAGGATGGATCCTGGGAGGAACAGAAGGCGCAAGGACAGAGGAAGAGTGTGCCATAAGGCGGCAGCAGGGGCTTCAGTTGTAGAAGGGCACTGACTGTCATGCCACATGTTTGAGGCTTTTATCTGTAATCAATGGAAATCACAAAATGGAATTTAAAGAGAAATAACACAATTAAGTCTGTCCTATCAAAAGATCACCCTAATGATACCCCCATGGGCAGACTGAAGCAAAGATAGACCGTTTTGAAGCGTTTACTGTAAGGTCATTACACTGGTAACAGGCACCTGTAGATTTTCTGTATTAACGGGAAACAGTGAAAAGCAGGGGCTGAATCTCCCTGTCAACAAGAGCTGCAACTCCCACCCCCACTAAGTCTTTTCCTGGATGGGGTGCCGTGAGATTCATCTTCATCTCTTCTTCAGCATGGATAAATGTGTTAGTTTTTTATTGCTGCCATAGCCAATTAACCACAAGTTTAGTGGCTTAAATTAACACAAATTTATTACCTAACAGTTCTTTTTATTGGTCAGAATCTGATACGGGTTTCTTTGGAAGTCAAAAATCAAAGGTGTCAGCAGGGTGTTCTCTTCCGGGATACAGGTTTCCTTGCCTTTTCTGGGTATAGGAAGTCTCCTGCCTGTGGGGCCCCCTTCCTCAATCGTCAAAACTGGCAAAGGTGGCTTAAGTTCCTCTCATGTCACTTCACTCTGTTGTCCTCTTCTGCATCCTTCTATGTTTAAGGACCTTTGGGATCACACTGCACTAACCCAGGTAGCCAGCAAGATCTCTTTATTTTAAGGTAAATTGATCAGCAGATTTACTGCAATCTGCAACCTTAATTTCCCATTGCCATGTAATATAACGTATCACAGGTTGTGGAGGTTAAGGCATGCATATTTTAGGATGGAGAAATTATCTTGCCTATCACATGAAGGTGCTATTAAGCAAAGGACCAGTAGTTAGAAGAGTTAGAAGGTGAGGAATGAAGGCAAGGACATTCACTTAAAGGGCAATCAATTCTACAAAAATTCAGGCAATAATTATATTCTTTCATATGGGCAGGGAATGACATATCTAGGTCATAAAAATTGACAAACTTTGTTTTTAAATGTTAGATAATGGAGTAGGGAAAAGATGTATTTAATTTACACTTTAAAATGTGTGAATTCCAATGTTTTCATAATTGATGCTATCGGCCAAGCATTTATGAAATTGGCTACCACCATATGTATAAGCTTCTATACCTTTATGTAGTAGTTTGAATTTTCAAGGGACTGGGTATTCATTCAAAGCTACACAAAACATGAAAGAGTCTTTTTTGTAGAAGAACAATATGAACAACAGAAGAAGGATTTCTTTTCTTTTTAAACTCAAAGCCTCTTTTCATAATCATTTTATAATACCTATCAGACAAAATTATCATCTTCTTCAAAGATTTCCCTGCACAACCTTTGCTCATCTCACGCATACCATCGCTTCTTCCCCAGAGTGAAGCTGGAAGGCCTGAGGGCAGTGTGTTCTCACAGCAGCCCCGGCTTCCTAAGTCTCTGTAGACCTCTAAGAACAGAAAAGGCCGGCCTCTACGCGCATTGCTATCTCAGAGGTTATGTGAGACCCAGCTTCCAGCCTGAATTTTAAATCTGAATAAAACAAAAAAGCTCTAGGAAACATAGGCTTGGGTAATGGCAAGCCATCCTAGAGATGACTTTTAACTAGTAATAAAAGAATAATCATGAGTACTTTAAATGCCTGGCAAAATACATATTTTTCATTCCAATGCATTTCTTACAAATTCCTGAAAAGGTGGGTTTTTTCCCCAGCTACTTGAAGCTGGAGCCTCTCTTTTTCATTATTGCCAGTGTAACAAAGTTAAATTAACAGCAAGAATTAGGCACTCAATAATTGTTTGTTGCCACCAACTTTCAAAAGGGAATAAAGAATATTTATAATAAAAAACACAGAATCACTAAAACAAAAATTAAAGATTGGTAAGAGAGAGTAAGGGAGCTAAAAGATGAAGCTAATTATATGAAAACTTTAGTTGCATAATCACTACAAGCTAGCTCTAAAGCTGCTGGCAGCCAAAGCAAAATAGTAAATGATAATTTTATCTGTCTGACAAAACTTTTCAGTTCATAATAAAATTCTGGCATGAAACTATGAAGACTTTAATTTTAAGAATAAAAGAGATGTGGAATATACTACTCCTGACACTGACAGCCACTCTGAATAAGACAAATTAATTGATGAAATTCAGTCATAACTCCTTTAATTTATGTGGCATAAAGGCGATATCCTAGCTGTGTTATAGACAGCTTCCAAATGCTACACTCATCTACGAATCCCGTCTTAATAATATTGTGGGTCGTGTCCACACTTGGGTGAAGGCCAAATAAAGTGAGAGGACCGGCAGCCACACAGCATATCTGATGACAAGCCCTGAAAGACCCCCATTATCTAAGTTATGTTGTTCGGCTCTTTTAATTCCTGATATTATAAATACATTTATTTGTATCATAAGCCGAAGTACACTGACTACGTATTTAAAAAGTAATTCTAATAAAAGATGTTCTTTTACCTGAAAACATTGTATTTTCCTATTGGGGTGGTGTTTATATAGGGTCAAAAACATGGATAAGTGTGGAAACCATCTCAATAGTTTTAAGAGAAAAATGTTTCACTCAAATACAAAGGTCTAAAAATGGCTTAAAACACGATTCAAATTTTCATATCTATTTTATGTATTTTGTACATTGAGAAATCCTTTTTGTGTATCAGATGCAAGCCATACGCCAAAAATAAAAGTTAGAAAAGTCAGAAATTAGGATTTCATGTATATCATATGTGTTGTGGAGTAATTGTATCATATTACTCTCAAATCAAACAATGACCCAAAAATCACAGTAATCCTCAGAAAGCTAATTATCAATCACATTTAATATATTACAAGACAACTTTCTTAAGTTAAATTCTTCTATAAATCTTTTGGAAAAAGCAGAGAAAAACGTCAGGGATTTCTTCAGACCCTCAGGGTTCCCAGCATGACCTGTCCTTCATCTCAGAGAGCAACTGAGGCTTCACACCTTTGGAAACTTCAGGAGCAACTGCATGTCTCACCCAGCTTAATAGGACCATTGACCTTCCTCCATGAATCACTAAGGACGATGATAGAAGTTCTCTAAATAACAACTCCAACTCACCAATTTGCCAGGTTAACCTAGTAATTTTTTCTATAAAACACAGACCCACAGCATATTTGACATTTGGGACTTCATGTAGCCACTTCCCACTTGTTGAACAGTATGTGTATCAGATCAGGTGTGTGTGTTCCCCAGCCTGTTTACGCCTGTCATTGTAATTATATAACTTAATCAAATAATGCATACATCAATAAAGCAAGGGGCTAAAAGAGAGTTATATTAAAAACAAAACTGTACATTTTGAGAAGATCAAATAAAAGTAAATTTTTAAAAATTATGTGAGTAACAATCAAAAAATAAAAGGGATAAAATGTAAAAGTCTAGGAAGAGTCTGCCCTTTGGTTTCTTCTCAAGTATCTTTCAATTCTTGTTCTATCTGAGAGAAACTAAACCTGGAATTTGTAGGTGACAATACTGAGTGTGGTTTACTCAAGAAAAACAACTTTTTAAGTTCGAGCAGTGAATATGATGAATTATTATACAAGTAAAAATAAAACGCTGAAAGTGTGCCAGTCCTAATCATGTCAGCCGAGAGGGCTTTTGCCACGCCTCACTGGGGCTCACATCCCTGCTTCCAACAGTAACAAGCGGGAGTCCAAGACTTTCAGGTCACCCACTTCCAACTGGTCATCTACTTCGACACTACCCTGTAGATTCATTAATTCGACTCGATCTTCCCCTCATCCACCCCTGCTACACTCTTTCACTGTGCCCAGT